ATGAAATTAGAATTAACCCTCTGATGATGAAGTATGAAAATTAAATATAATGGCTTAAAATTTTAAAATCTGTTTATTTTCAATTAGGGGGTTTCTCTACAAAATACACATGCAGGAAATCATATTAGAATTGTCAGAAATAAACACTTTTTCAATTACGCTGTACATTAACCTAACTATGATTATAAATAACGTCGTTGGATCTGTATTGTGATTAATCTAACTACGCTTATAAATAACGTCGTAAAACTTGTAATTAAATTCATTAATCTAACCTGTATCATAGAAACCAAAATAAACAGATACCTGAGATTATTGAGTGACCTGGAGTTCTTGATTGAGTACTTTAGTATCTTGTGATAAAGATACCTGAGATTATTAAGTGACCTGAAGTTCTTGATTGAGTGCTTTAGTATCTTGTGATACACATACCTGAAAATTTTTGAGCAACCTGTATTGAAGCTGATCTAATAGGATTTATTGGAGTAGGACATTCAGTAATTAGAGTCATTTTAAATTACGCGTATACTCCCCTTATGTTAAAATGTAAAAACTTGAGTTTACGTAAGCGTACAGTGTAAACACAATACAACGCGAGTTCATTCTCATCATTACTCAAATAAAGGTTAAACTTTTAAATAGGAATTATTACAAAATGCGAATGGAAGATCCATTGAAATTACCTCTCCAGTCCCATTAAATCCTACTTCAAGAATCAGCAAAAAACTGTGCAACATTAGTTTACAAAATTTGGGCACTCAGTTTTATGTTTAATTAGCAGAGCTTAAACTGTGACTTTATCTTTAATACATTTTAGATTACGAAGTAGGTTTATATTGATTCAAGAAATATCAAGCTGATTTTTAACTTTATCATGTTTCTGCTGTTGTAGATTCATAAGGTTCTTACCATTTAAATGGGATACCCTCTGGTTGAAAATATAAAATAATGTAAACCATTTACATTATGCAGTAACTGGAGAATGCATAATAAATCACGCTTATTTAGATGTTTTGTTAAATACTGAAAATATGTCTTTTTATGCCAAATTTTGAGGTTGCCATTTACACAATGTTTTTTTGTATGGTGGTAATTTAAATTCAAAATTGACCGGACATGTTTATCCCGGGTTAGATTAACGTGAACCATCTGCATAATATTGACCGGACATGTTTATCCCGGGTTAGATTAACGTGAACCATCTGCATAATATTGACCCCGGGTTAGATTAACGTGAACCATCTGCATAATATTGACCGGACATGTTTATCCCGGGTTAGATTGACGTGAACCATCTGCATAATTAGTTGATCTTGTTACAGCTTTGTATTAACATCGTAGATGGATAGATAGAAAGATAAATAGATACTTATTTATTTTATTTAACTTATTTATCTTATCTATCTTATCTATCTTATTTATCTTGTTTATCTTATTTATCTTGTTTATCTTATTTATCTTGTTTATATTATTTATATTATTTATCATATCTATCTTATTTATGTTATTTATCTCAATAATCTTATTTATCTTGTTTATCTTATTTATCTTGTTTATATTATTTATCTTATTTATCTTATCTATCTTATTTATGTTATTTATCTCAATAATCTTATTTATCTTGTTTATCTTATTTATCTTGTTTATATTATTTATCTTATTTATCTTATTTATGTTATTTATCTCAATAATCTTATTTATCTTGTTTATCTTATTTTATTCTATATTCTGAAAACTGGATTTCGAGTGAGTTTTGAATCCCGTGAATTTGCCAATAATGTATTTGCTCTTTCAATTTTAAATTTTAAATTATTCATAACCAAAAATCCCTAAATATCAATTTTTTTATTCAAACTAGAAACTCTAGAATTACAAGAAAGGAAAAGGTCTAAATAATTGTACGACTTTGAGACCTCGTAGCTAATCTAGTTTTGATTTCTACTGCAGGAAAAAATTTATGAATTATAAACTTCTAATCGGAAAACGACAATATCTTCCACATTAACGATCTGATAACGATTCCAAGAGTACCGTTGTAAATCGGACATCATCTTTGCATTCAGGGTTCCTTGAAATTACGCTTAGTGCAGTCCCTTAAAGCGTCCGTCCGTTTAAAGATTTTTTTTTCTTGAAAAGTGTCTGATTTTGATAATTTACTTTTTTGTAAAATACTTCAAATGAAAATAAATCAATCCTCAAATAGAAAAATATGGATATCTAATTTATACTTGATCAGACAGTGCTTTGAAGGATATTGATACCACTCGGTCTATTAATAGAGCACTGTGATTTTACCAGGTTCATTTGTTGCATAAAATGTACTGGATCGACTTTACACTAGGTAGTCCAGACTGGACGGTACAATGGAAATCATGTACAGTACAACCTATCAAATCACTCCTGCTGCAGTAATTTTACATATATATATATATATATATATATATATATATATATATATATATATATATATATATATATATATATATAAGTATATGTATATATACATAAATATATATATACATATATTTATATATACATTATTTATGTATAAATATATGCGGGTGGAGTTGGAACATTTATATATATTTTATATATATATATATAAAATGTACCAATGTTTTGTTAATAACTGTTAGAATTTATTATTACAGCTGAAAAATATATTATTGATTTGATTTTAAATGTTTTTTCGGCTCCGGTCAGACAACTTTTAAAGTGGTGTGATCACTTAAAGTTTCGGTTAAGTTCCTTTAATTTATAAATTTATATGCATCTTGTATGCTTGTAGTGATTTAATAGTTTAACGCTTGTCTAGTATGGTTAAAGTGGATGCCAGCATAAAAAGATAAAAGGCAAAAGTAATAAATTCTCATCCTAGCTTGGAACCTTCTTCTTTATTGATTTTCCTATAAGAAAACAGTTGTGTAGTGTGTACACACTCCTTTAGAAATACTTTTTACAAAGGAGAAACATTCCTTTGTCTTATTTTCATTGTGCTTCTCAGCGGGCTTGAGATAAATTGTATCTAATTATTTTTTCCATCAAGGTCCTAAATTAAAGGACATTTTATAGATTCTTTTCCTCTCAATCCTATATATATTTAATATGGCTTTCACAAAAGAATTTTTATATCAGAACCTTTTCAGAATTACTCAATTTTAAAGGTATGGTAGATAAAACTAATTTTTTTAATAATTTAAAGGTCACTAGGCTTCCAAGGCACTTTATGCATCTTTATCTTTGAGTTTTTCAGGCTTTAACATTTTTGCATAACTTAAAAAAATAACAATTTTCCAATTTTTAATAACTATTTATAACCCTACTGGTTGAAGGGAGGCGAGGTATAAAGTATTTAAGCCAAAAACTTTTCTTTTTCGAGAGGGTTCGAGACTTTCTTGATGAGATTTTTTCAACCAGAGCGTAGCGAGGGTTAAAAATCTCATCAAAAAAGTCGAGAACCCTCGAGAATACTTTACGAGTCTCCTTCAACCAGTAGGGTTTTAGATAGAAATAAAATGGAAAGAAAGGAATATGAATTAAAATGAAATGTTAACACTATCAAAATAAATAAATACACAAAAATGGCACGTCAATTATATAACATGTAATATAAAGTTTAAACTTTTAAAAAGTACATATTCAAGAAAATCCCAAATATTAATGCAGGAAGATGATCATTTAAAAGAATGCGTATTGCAATTTCCCCTGGTGAAGCTATTGCAGATTTTTGCAAGCAATAACTCTTTCTTTTGTTTCATCTTAGATCTATAAATATTCTTTATTTTAAGAAATTACTTAAAAATCATTTTACAAACATAGATTACATATACGTACTTAATTTAGCTCAGGCATATATACAAAGCATACAAAAAAAACATAATTTAAAACTTTTTAAAATATTATTTTTAACACAAATAAAAAAATATGTCGAAAAATATTCCATTTGAAATTTATAAAAACAAAGAATTATTTAATCGGTTTTCATTTAAAGGCTAAAAATGTGGAGGGGTTGTGGAATTTTGTATTTTAAACACAATATCTTTAGCAACAATTTAATATAGTTTTACATCATCCATAACAATAGAATTTTATATAAATTTATATATTTATCTATCCAAAAATTAAAAAAAAAATATGGTTAAAGATATCGTCATTGTGCTGGCAACCAACGCAAAAAAGCAAAGAGTGGATAACTCTTATATATTTTTATAAAATAGGAACTATTTTAGATTATTTTTTAGAATGTTATTTCAAATTCTGAAATATACATCTGATCTAAAATTAATGAAAAAATATATCTTTAAAATCTTTAATGTCAATAATAATACATATTTCTTAAGCCATAAATTTTATATTTATACATTCACTTAATACAGGTCAAATTAAACTTCTTAAAGGGACTGTATGCATAATTTCAAGTGACACTAATAGATGTCGATGCCGGATATCACATGAAATAACACGAACAGTCTCTTTCTTTTCTAGAATAATTTCACTTTTATAATTCTAATGATTTAGCCAAATTCTTATTTTTTTTCTTATATTATGAACAGTGGAAAGTTAACTGCAAGGCAATCAATTAATTAAATAATATTTAAAATGAGTTTTAGAATTATGGAAAGGGGGAATCTATCCATTTTTAATCTTCTGATTACATTAATTGAACAAGAGTGGATCATAATATAAAGATGGCTAGTAAACAATACAGGCATAACATTTTTTGTAATTTGTTTCATATTTACCAAGAATTGTAAAAATTCATAGAAGAAAGGTTTTGAATTAGCTTTTTCTTGCTTATTGTTTGTTAATCGTTTTGGCTCGTTTAAAAAAAATTATTAGATACATAAAATTTAAAAACAGTTTTCTGTTAAAATTAGCTTTTATCTAACCTTGAAATAGAGACAAAAAGATTAACAAACCGGAAAACGATGGTTTTAACTTGTTCACTTTTGTTCGATTTTTCGAAATATTTTCTCTCTGGGTCAAAAAAAAGCTTAAAATAAACAATTTTGAAATTTTTGTTAATTATTTCAAAAGTACAAAAAGGATCTAACTTATAGAACATAACAAGTCCTAATCCACACAAACTTACTTGGTGTGTCAAGAGCAATGTAAGAAATACAAAACAAATCCCCCCTTTTCAAAATTAATAACGTACTCATTTCAAAGAGAGTGTCTCATTTGGTTTGTTCTGGTTGAGATCCTTTTGAATGGGTCGGACGGGATGTTATAACTGTGGGAGAGGATATTCTTGGTGGAGACCCTAAAGACATGTGGACAGGAGGAGGAGGAGGAGGAGTTCTTGCGGATAAAATTGGAGAGAGGAGTGGAGGAGAGGTAGACAAGTAGGATTGAGAAAGGGGTTGGGAAACAGGAGGAGGAGGAGGGGTTCTTGCCGATAGCATTGGAGAGAGGAGTGGAGGAGAGGTAGACAAGTAGGATTGAGAAAGGGGTTGGGAAACAGGAGGAGGAGGAGGGGTTCTTGCTGATAGCATTGGAGAGAGAAGAGCAGGAGAGGTAGACAAGTAGGACTGAGTAGAGGGTTGAGGGGAGCTAACCAGAGGGGACGGTATTGCTGGAGATCTCGGAGAAGAGAATACCCCGCTGTTGGAGTATGTATCTAAACATTTCTTATAAGCAGGGTAAACTTTACTTAATTCTAGTGACACGCAACATTCCGGTAACGGATCATACGAAGGTTCCGTTAACGGCACCAACTGTTACAGATTTATCTTCTGTTGTTGATAAGATTGAGATCGCTAACGAAGGATAACTTTTGAAAAACCGGAAAATACTGTCAACTGAACAGAATGTTCAGTTCTTAGCTAAGAGCAAACAGATATCTGAAGAGTTGGTTTGAAGATGTTGTATTTTGTCCATATATGTTTTACCTAAACCGTAGTTTCTTATGACTGGAGATGTGGAATATCGTGCTGGAGAACCAGGTATGCTTATTCCTGTGCCAGGGGAACCGTGACAACTTGATCTTTGATTTAAACATCCTGAAAATAAATTATACAGGCTGTTGATATTTCAATATGGACAATACCTTGTTAAAAACCTGTTTAGAACATTACTGAGAATATGGCTTGATGTTCCTTAAGTATGGGTACCTGGGTGAAACATAAAGACAAGATAATTCTTCAGTAACATAATAGCAGTTCAGGTGAATTATTATGCCATTATTAATGGTCTCTTATAATAACGATTAGATTTTAGAGTATGTTACCTCCCATAGCAAGTGGCGGAGCGGAGAATCTAGATGTTGGAGGAGATCCACCATAATTCAAAGATGAACCTTTACAGAAAACAAAGCTTGATTGATTACAATTATAGATCTATTACATTTTTCACAACTCAGAAAACAATTCCTCTTTAACTCTTTTTATTGTATTTTCCCTTTCATACTATTTTGATGGGATGTTGTTTGGAATATAAATGGGAAAGTTCACTTGATTATTTGGGTAATTTCAGGGTAAACTAAATAGCCTTGCAGCTAGTTTATAGGGATTAAACTTACTTTTTAAAGATAAGTGAGGCCTTGTAAAAGGCCAACTTATCGTTTAGAATTCTAACACAAAGGTATGATTGTTTGCCCTTTGGGCTTGAAAGGGAGAGTGTGAATATTGTTGACCCACGGCTTTACATCTTCAGGTATGTTTTGGGGGGCTTTAATACCTTTGTAAAAACACTATTTTATAGTTTTGTCATAGCCAGGGATTTTAAAAAATTTATAAAGAAACTATACTGTAATAATAAATTAATTGTAAAATATCAAAAAAATTGAAAATTGTTTTAAAACGTTAGTTTCTTGCTAACTCTATGATATCAAAAGTTTTTATGTTTTAGTAGATACAATGGTTGTATGTTTTTGCAGAAATTCTGAACAACAAAAGACTAATACTAATGACAGGGGCTAGCAAATGGACTATTTAATTTAACCTGAAACTTCCCAAATACCTGAATTGTACCTTTAAAATATGGCCAATAATGCTTTTTTTTAAGATCTAGATATTTATTTATGTATCGAGGTTATATTACAAAATTTGTTTATATGGATTTAAAAGAAAACTATTTTACGATAGTATCGTGTACATACATTAATTAAGAAGAAATCTATTAGTTTACGGATACATTTTTTAGTTTTTTTCTTGCCAAAATTAATGTTACATTAATATTCAATTATTGACGAAGCAGCAGTTCAAAAGAAAAAACTACATTATATTTAATAGGATAGCATACTTGTATGCAATGTGACAAACACAAATAATGCTTTTTTAAATTGCTTTTTATTACAGATTGAATATTGAACGATTTTTTCTAATAAATTCAGGAAAAACTCTGGTTTGTGGAATGTGGATCATGATCATGTAAAAGACAAAACAAATAAGATTTGTATGAAAAGAATATTTTTGTGTACTTTTAAGATCTTTTTTACAACTTCCAGCATATTTGATTAAGCTTCACTCTACAAATTAAATCATATTTACCTAATGCAGTGTGCATCGGAGATCCTACTGGTGTGATGAGTTGACTATGAGTAAGATTAGAACCATGAAGTGGACTACCGTAAGGTGAATCGTAAGAACCTGGGCTACCAGCCAGAGCTCCAAACTCAAGTCCAAGTACGGAGGCAGGTAGCTTTCTTAGCATGGCAGGAGACCTTTCATCTGCCAACCTAGAGTACAAACAAGGGTCAGAAATATTTTAATCTAAAGTTACAGAATTAGCCAGTTATCTTGCATAGTCACATTAATTTCTTTTGGATATCCTATAGTGGTCGTGGGATAACCTAAATATTGAGATTAAGCATTGTAAACTGAATTTGAACTGTACAGCATTGCTCTAGCAGCTTAAAATTCAGCCCGATATTTGAAATGAACCGGAGTTTACAGTGCTAGCAATCCTTTTCACAAAATTTTTGGAATGCTTTTTTTAACCATATATAATAATATCAATGTTAATCCTAAACGATTTTCAGATGAAATAATGATCTTTTCATCGTAGAACTTATTGTTCAATGCAGATCGGGTTGAGCAGTATAAAAATACCTCGATGATCGTTTTATAAATGACAGAAAATTAATGAAAACGAAACTTTTGTTATAAAATGAAACATTTTAGACCAAATGATGATGCCATTCTCCCAGCGTTTAATATGAAATCAATTTACCATCTTTTAAAGGAACTTTAAGCATATTCTTAAGTGACCCTCTATGCAAATATGCCAATGCCCAATTCACAACGGTACCCTTAAAAGCTTTGTCGGATCAAGTATAAATACGATATTTTAATTTTTATAATTTTGAAAACTGAATAAAAACAATTGTGGTTTCTCTACAAAAAATTTCACACCAGGAAAACATGTACAAATCAACATGGTTAAACGCTCTTAAACCTAAGAAAACCACAATACCTTCCACATTATTGATTAGATATAGGGTTAAAGGGTACTGTTGTGAATGGGACATTCCATATTTACATAGAGGGTCACTGGAAAGTACGCGTAAAGTCCCTTTAAAGGGACTGTAAAGGGAAAATGAAAGGGGGGATAGGATGAAACCTGAGTATCTCAGGAGTTGAATGATACATATAAGACATCTATCTGATGTTTCTGTCTCGTTGTCATCGGAAACAGACGGATATCACATGACCTGTATACTGCATGTGCCATTGGCTGAAGTTCTGGTGACGTAATACGGACTATACAGACTATATGTAATAATATTATCAATTATATCTATTAAAAATGCAAAATAAAAAAATTATAAAAGGAGCAAACCTTAGATTTTCAGGCTCCTGTGGACATCGTCGTTTTCAGATTGGTTGCGTATTTGTTGAATATGATCTGTTTAATACTAGAACTTTTATACAAAATTGCATATATATGAATTGTCGAATGACACAGTTTTTTTTTATCAATTTCTCGAGACAGGAACTTCAGATAGATGTCTTATATGTGACGTTCAACGCCTGAGATTCTTAGGTTTCATTCTATACCCTCTTTCATTTTTCCTTTACAGTCCCTTTAAGCACTTTTTATTTAGGAGGTCTTCAACTAAATAAACAAATAAAATATACAATCATATTGACGATAAAATTAAATTCCAGATAAAAACTACTTAATATGTTATGGCATATGGAATTATGTAGAAAAGAACAAAAGTCCAGATTATCAAAAGAAAAAGGGGTTAGGAAGTATAACAATGTGTTACACAATTGTTTCAGATTTGTTCAGTAAATATATATGGTAGGCAATAAATCAATAATCAATCCAGTATATACCTTCCTCATATTACATATATTAATATTAGAAAAGAAAACCTTTATGAATATCCATTTAGTCTGGATAATATTTACTCTCTTATATTTGATAAACGTTTTGAGTGTGCAGAGGGGAGTGGGGGTGGGGGGATTTCCTTCCGGTTTTCTAATAGAGGTTTTAAACAAATAGAGTATTTAAGAAGAGATAGTTAAGTACACACGCTTTGCTCTTTTACACTTATTAGCAATGGGATCTTGAAAACATAACAGTCACTGTCAATGACATCAAGACCTTCTCTCTGCTTTATTTATAGAGATGTCACTGTCAATGATATTGATACCTTCTTTCTGCTTTATTTATAGAAATGTCACTCTCAAGTCTCAATTACATCAAGACCTTCTTTCTGATTTATTTATAGAGATGTCACTGTCAATGACATCAAGACCTTCTTTCTGATTTATTTATAGAGATGTCACTGTCAATGACATCAAGACCTTCTTTCTGCTTTATTTATAGAAATGTCACGTTCAATGACATCAAGACTATCTTTCTGTTTTATACTTATAGAGATGTCACTTTCAATGATAACAAGACCTTCTTTCTGATTTATTTATAGAGATGTCACTGTCAATGGCATTAATGCCTTCCTTCTATAAGTGATTGGCGACCATCTAAAGCAGGGTGGTAGTANGGGGGGGGGAGGGATTTTACACAGTGTTACCTACAAAGAATGAGATATTGATCAGTCTTTTTCTTACATTCTTGGATTCCTCGGGTTGTAAATATGTTTTGTTTTTTCTTACATTCTTGGATTCCTCGGGTTGTAAATATGTTTTATTTTTTCTTACATTCTTGGATTCCTCGGGTTGTAAATATGTTTTATTTTTTGCCAAATCATCAAGTATATGGGTAAATTATAGATTTAAGACCATTTTTAATTCTTACATGTTAAAATTTTCAGGTATCCAATAAACTATCATCCTTTGTGGGTAACCCTGTATCTGATACATCTCTCCCCCCAGTATTAACGATTTTTAAGCCTAGGTACCTTCTGTGCAGAAACTTTGGAAAATTTCAAACTTTTATCAAATTGTGAAATATCATTATTTTTCAAAGTTTCATATTGGATATAGAAATTCTGTCTAACCCTTGAAACGTCTATAATATTAAGACTCCAGAGGTAAGAAATTATGACTCCAAAGAAAAGTAATTGAATGTAATACAAATGGTTAAATTACTTTTTAAATGAAGACTAGAAACCTAACCACATAGTTTCCGTAGTAGTAAATATTTCCATTTACTGATATCGCCGATTGAAGGATTCATAACTCTAATTGGATAATGAGATAGATAGAAATAAAATGGAAAGAAAGGAATATGAATTAAAATGAAATGTTAACACTATCAAAATAAATAAATACACAAAAATGGCACGTCAATTATATAACATGTAATATAAAGTTTAAACTTTTAAAAAGTACATATTCAAGAAAATCCCAAATATTAATGCAGGAAGATGATCATTTAAAAGAATGCGGGAACTTCATAGCGAAAAATGCGCAAATATTAAAAGGTGTACTCAGCTGGAGTGAAATTTTACTTTTAAACCCATAAGAAAATAGTGAAAATTTAACCCCAGCTTTGAAATTTTCACACTTATGTATCGTCTAAAAGTAAAAATCATAAACATTAAAACAAATTAAAACAAGAAAATATTTAAACATTTTTTGGTATATTAGAACTCCTAGTTGACAGTTCAACGAAGATATATAGTAAAGTACTTGAATATTCTAAGAATGGGGGGAGGGGGGTCCACATAGTTTCCGTAGTAGTAAATATTTCCATTTACTGATATCGCCGATTGAAGGATTCATAACTCTAATTGGATAATGAGATAGATAGAAATATAGATACCGCCATACTATTTCTATTGGTTCAGAATATACAGCAATCACATGACTGAACCCTGATTGGATCAGGCGCTAATGGACTCGGCATACAGGAATGTAACTGGCTTATTTTTTCATTTTCTGGCCTCCTTTTCATTTCTAGACACTTTAATGCTTCAACATCTAACTTTCATTGCAGTCATCATGTATCCGGATCAAACTCAAAAACAAATCAACAAAAATTAATAATGGAAAAATAAACTTACATGGAGAATGTTCTGTTCATGATTTCTTCGTCCTCAAATCTGACCCAGTCTGCAGTATCCTTGGCTCCCTCGCTATCTGCAGTATCCTTGGCTCTCTCGCTATCTGGTTCCCTTGTATTAAAGGTACAGTGCAACAATATATATATATATGTTTGTTTTAACCTTTTATTATTGTTTATTCAAGTTTAGTGAGAATCCTTTTTACAGATAGGTGGGCCTGTAGGCGTGCACTGGGTATTCTCAACCCATTATAGCAACAGTCAGTATTTGATTTAACACTTGCACACAAAATAGAAGTATTTTAAAAGGTAACCATCATTTATAAGTTTAGTCAGATAGAATTAGTAAGTTTCAGAGAGAGAGATAAAAATACAGATTCATTTATTTATCGGGTTATTCAACAGTGAGAACCAGGAGACTTTTGAATAGGAAGACGACATTAAATCAATACTTAAATAAAGTAATGTTGTTGCAAAGCATTTAGTTTCACTAATAGCTTATAAAATCACTTATTGGACTATTTAAAGTCATATCTTGAGTCTGAAAGTCGTTCTTCTATTTCGTAGTTTTTTTCTGGCTCTAACTATGATTTTAGATTGAGTTTAAATCTGTTAAATTGCCATAGACAGGCATTGAGTCCTTGCCACGAACTCAAATTTTCTTATTCCTGTATCTTTGCAACCTGTTGATGTAAACCTTTGATTTGTCAGACTTAGATAATTTTATCTAACGGAATCCACAAAGTTTAATATACGACATCGTGTTGCAACGATTTAAGGATAAAAAATGAACACATGACTCTAAATTTTTAATCCTTATTTCTTTGAAACCTGATTTTGTAGACCTTTGACATTTCTAACTATTAATTCTGAAAACCTCAAGTGCAGTTAAAGGTTAGAAATGTGTATTCAAATCAAATCAGATAAAATTTCCAAAAATATAAAGATTAGAAAATTACAGTTATGGAGGTGTTTATTTTTCCTTATATTTGATTAAATCTTTGTTAAAATTTTAATCCACAAAAAGCTGGACTTACTAGGGTTGGGCACGTTTTCAATTTATTTGTTTATCTATATTTATGTTTAAGTAATATACTTCTGTATATGTCTGAACTGAACCCTGAATTGGGCCGGATTAACGGTAATGTTCTTAACTTTTATATGTAATATTCCATATTTACGGATGGTTTTTTATGCATGTTTTATGCATCTTATTTTAACTTAAATATTTTACAAAGTAATAATAAATATTTCTCAAGTTTGAGTAAAAATCTTACTTTATTATTTACCTATGTTCTAGAAGGGAGGGAGGGGACCCAGTCTATGTACTTTATGATTTACCTATAATGTTCTAGAAGGTTGCAGTCCATTATCTGCATCGTCTCCGCTATAGAAGTATTTTTAGTCCCTAATTCATCTCCTGGACTACTCAGATCTATAAGAAGTGTTTCATCCTCCTGACCGGAAGTACAGGAATTATATCCGGAACTGGGGGAAGTTGTTTTCTCATTTATTTTCTCATCTAAACTTGTCTTCCTCATGTAACTCTCAACTATAGCCACAGTAACCTTGTCAAAATATAATTTTACAATTATATGTCAGCTGACAATCCAAAAATTATATGCTGTCCCAAGATACTGTGTTGTCAAAAAAACTTGTGTTGTCCTGAAACCTTGTTCCGTCCCAAAATCTCGTGTTGTCCCAAAATGTTGTGCTGTCCCAAAACCTATATTGTCTGGTAATCCCTTGTTTTCCCAAAAACTTATGATGTCCTAAAATCTAGTGCTATCCCAATTCCCAGTATGGCTCATAAACCTGTGTTGTCCCAAAACCTTGCGTTAACCACAAAGCTCAGCTCAGTGCTCAGTGCTTGATAAAAAATCTGGTGTTGTCCCAAAACCCATTGTTGTCCCAAAACCAGGTGTTTTCATATTAACCAGTGATGTCCCATAATCCTGCATTGTCCTAAAACCGAGTGTTTACACAAAGGCCAGTGTTATCCATAGTTCTGTGTTGTCCCAAAACTCTAAATGGTCCTAAATCTCTGTCCCTAAGTCCAAAAATTTGTACAGCTCCAAAATCAGTGTGCATTGTGCACACCCCAAAAACCAATGCAGTCCCAAAACAGGGACACAAATTAATATTTATTTTTAATATCTAAAAAATAAAAACTATTTGATTAGAAAGGTTCTGATAAATTGGTGGATGGGAGTGGAGTATAGAACTGCTGAGTTTCAATAAATCAATTAAACTCAAGAAAATTAATTATAAACTCATTTTGCTCTGGAAATCCAACAAATGGAAATGTGTAAGATTAAAGGAATATCAACGTAATTCTATGTGACGTTTATCTAATTGAAGTGGATTTTTGTTTTGTTAGAGATCTAAATTTCCCAAATATGGGATACAATGTTCAGAAGTGATAGCTGGCTACATAGTTTCTTTTTAACTTTATAAAAAGAGTAATCATCAAAAATAATGGAAAATTTGGTTTGGCAAATTCCAATGTTAACTATATTTATACATTTGTCAACAGCACTGCGTTTAGGCTCGTATTTATCATTATGACTATTTTTTACCTGTTTATCACCAGATTCATCAGTTTTCTTATTCTTTCCACTTCTTCCCTCCCTACTTCCTTCTCTTCTCCCCTTACTCTCTTCGCTTCTTCCTTTACTTTCTTCTCTTCTTCCTTTACTGTCTTCTCTTCTTCCTTTACTGTCTTCTCTTCTGTTCCTGCTTTCAGATTTTCCCTTTCTTCTCCTTTTCCGTTCCTGAGCAGCTTGCCAGCATTCATACGCCAAGTTAAATGCCTGGGCTATAGTCAGAGTGGCAGCTTGTGCCTAAAAGAAATGCAATTAAAATATAAAAATATGTAGAGTTAGACACAGAATAAGAAGACATTCAAGCAAACTAGTGTGTATTTGCTAGAACAGACAGTTTTACTCAGGGGGCTGGATCTTAACACCTCTCCGTGTGTACTGAGTGTACACTTGTTTAGTTTACTGAGCCCGAAATTTAAAAGAGTATCGTTGAACGAAACTCCCGAGTTTCCTTTTTGGGGTCTTAACATTTTGTAGATTTGATTTAAGAGATTTGACAAAAATGGAAAATGTGAAGAAACTTAATAAAAAAAAAATATTTCATAACAAAAATATTGATATCCACAAAACTGCCTAACCCCATTCTTGAAACCCGGGTTTCTAAACTGGTTTTCATAATGATACCCTGTTTTAAGTTTTGGGCTCTGATAAAGGATATTAAGAGATTATACCCTATTCATACAGTACAAACATCAAATATGCAGTACGCTTTCGGAGTACAAGTGTAAAAGACTGTAAATGTACGTCTTCCTGTGAAAATGGAATCCTGCACACGGTAAAAGAGTAGTGGATTTTGATAGTTACATGGAAAACAAATTCTCCGTTTAAATATTTTCAGATCTCACCCCCGAGTACTGTAATACACAGATTGACCTTTGGAAGTGAAGTACATGACCTGTTCAATTAGTAAAGGATTAGCGTACATCATCACTCTATATACTATAATCTCGTTGATTTTGCTAACAAATTGAAAATCTGAGTAAAATGGGTTTGTGTAGTTCATGATAATAAGAATATTGTCAAGCATAAAGTCTATGTTATTAAACTGTCTTTGTTTTTCCTTAATCACAACAATTTCAAATTTAAGCAAACAGTGTATTACGATATAGAAATGTGGCTTTTATTACAACTTTAAGAATTTACCATTTTTCGCTTTGGACAGAGAAAGGCATGGCATTCAAGAGTATCATTACTGTTGGTAGAGATAAATGCAAACACATGATCATATGTAGCATCTGCAGAACAGTAGGATATCCTAAACGGAAAACAAAATTATTGACAGTTAAAAAGGTGTTATTAACTTTGGCACAGGCTCATGGGGAATAGTTTGTAGCAAATAGGTTGTCAAGTTTCAACCCCGTTATTTAGTCTATAGAACGTTAAATGAAAAAAGTGTAAAAACAGAAATAAAGAACATATAAAATTGCACTAATTTCACTAAAAGATAAGCACTTTAGTCCAAAAATGTTACTTTTATTTATAGTTTTGTCAGACAAAAAATTAGAGTTGACACTTATGACGTTTAAACAGCTGTACTGAAAGTGTACGCATTCTGTGTTGCCGTCTATCGTACTTGACAACCTATTTGGTTTGTAGTGTTTTAACGTGTCAAAAAATAGTTGGGTGTTAAGGAAAATATTAAAAAAGGCCATCATCTTCTCATACAGTGAAACCCTTAATAACGAATACATCGAAAGAATTCATCAAATGTCGTATTCTTCACTTTCTGATAATGGAATGTTGCAGATATTTAGTTTTTTAATTAAATGATTATATGGAACTCTTTAAAACTGTTCCCGCATATTCATGGCTATTTATTTATTTTCGCAAATACTAAAATTTAAGTAATATAGTATAAAACTCATTGAAAAATTGTCAAGACGACATTTGATAAATTCTTCCGATGTATTCGTTATTAAGGGTTTCACTGTACTAAAATTGTTAAATTGAAAAAAATATTGCAATTTTTTGCCAAAAAAAAGGCTGGCCTTTAAACATGCATTGCATCTCCAAATTCTCTCAATTCGCCCCCCCCCCCCTCCCCACTTTACATATTTACATACTTTTAAGGATCAATGTCTGGAACATGACTATGAGGCTATGAGCGCTGCGGAAAATGCAAGTTATGAGAAAAACAATATTTTTTAGCTCAAGAAACTGGAAAAATGCTTTGTTTAAAGTTTTTAACATTAATCAAACCAAAATAAACTGATGTTAATGCTTATATATACACATAGGCTTCAATATTTTAAAATAAATACTTTATTCCATTTTAAATAAACAAGTTTAGTTTTTTTACCATAAAATAAAAGTACCCAAAAAATGAGTTTTTAACATTTTTCATGAAATTCTTATTTTCTTACCTATAAATTGAAACCTCCAAAACAATTTCACTTGATGAAACTTCAACCATTTTTATTCCTTTAATAAGTCTTATTTTGCTTAGTTCTTGATGTTAAAAATTGCAATTAGAATTAACTTCTAAAATAACTAAATTAAATACTGTCAAAATTCTATAAACTTACTGTCCATATATGTGCTTATGGATTAAAATTTCAAAATCAAAAATTTTTATAAGAAATGTTCTTTCCAAAAACTTAAGATTTATCCCTTTCAGAGCAATAGTCAAAGACACTCGGGTCAGTTTTCTATCCTGTTTCTTCGCCTGAAATTAGTTTTATTTTTTAGAAATTAAGAAAGGGATTTTATGAACAACATTTTTGGGATTTTGTGAACAACATATATTTGGGTTTCTGAATTCAGTTTTTGTAAAATTGCAAAATAACTTTAAAGAGACCCATAAAATTATGAAAATTAAAGACGATTGTAAACTCAATTATTTAAAATAGTTCAACAAACAGAAACACAAATTTTGTACATTGTACATTGTACACTTCTTTTTTTCTTAATCCACGCTTTTATGCGTCTCTTTGTCCTTACAAGTAATATTTTTTATATACATGAATATTACGGCATCAAGCCTTATAGAAATCCAACGTATAGAAACCGCTACGTATAGCAACAATTTTCCGGAAGAAAATTTTTTATATTTTTGAGAAATTAAATAATCAGTGTAAAGTAGATATAATATTCATAAAATCCTTTTATTTAAATGGTAAAACGGAATTTTATGAAATCATATTAGCATTACTGGAAAACTTTTTTTTATACTTTTAAGATTTTTTTTTTCTAAAAATAAAACTGTAGATTTATATGAAATATCTTTTTTAATAGTAACACGCAATTTTATGTATAACCATATAATCATTCATTTATGTTGTCAGTAAATAATAAAATCCACGGGGGACCTTAAACTCGAAAGAGAGCAGTACAAATGTACGTATTAAACTATTTTGCTCCTATAATGTCTAGGGTATGTTAAAAAAATAGAAATTATGATAATGATAATGATAAGCTACAATGTTTTACAAAAACGTTTAATTTCTCAAAAACATAAAAAATGTTCTCCCGGAAAATACGCCATGTTGCTATACGTAGCAGTTTCTATACGTTGGATTTCTATAAGGTTTGACGCCAATATTACCATTGTTATTATAGTTTTAATTGCTTGATTTGTAACATCTTCCCCACTGCTTCTATCCACTAACACAGAGCCAAGATATTTCACATAAAACGTGACACCTAAACTCAACAAATTGTTTCTATTTTAATATGGTTTAACTGAATTCTTTCAGTTTTAGATACGATCAATTGAAAAGTTATTAAATAATTGAAATGAACTGAAAAGGACCAGACTGAAATCTGTTTCTAAAAAATCTGTGGTTTAGACCATCATCCTTATCAACATTTAAATTATTTCAGTTGTCAGAAAAAAAATTTAACCTAGAAAAAATTACGATATCTTCCACATCGGGTCCAATTTTGTGTGGGACCTAACGTGACCCCAGGGCCGGAATGTTTATGAATATGCTTTTAAAATTTTATTTTTGTAAAATTTTGAAAATGTGCGAAAAAATAATATGAAATCCGCAAACTTTTTTTTTACAATTAGAGAAGAATGAAGTTGCTCACAGATAAAGCATCAATTAAAAGTTGAAAAAGAAGATGGGTGCGAAGCGCCCTATCAGCCAAGTAAACTAAATTGTACCATCACTTTACAACCACTTCAATGTGGTAAAAAGAAAATAGAATTGTTAAATCTAAAAAAAAACATTTTTATATATAATATTTTTAATAAAAATGTGTTTTCCTTCTGATACAGGTTCCTGGGAACCGTTCCAGTCCTCACACAGTTCTAAAACAAAAACAAAAAATAAAATTCTAATTAACTTACTGTTTGCATGACAAAACATTTTTTGTTTTCCTATGAATATTCTTTAAAATAAATTATCATTTTATTCTAAAGTAGATAAAACTTTGCAACGTCGCTATCATTGAAATAAATAAATCTGTATTCTTTTGTTAAGAATAGCTTTTAAGTTATATCTATCTATCTATCTATCTATCTATCTATCTATCTATCTATCTATCTATATATCTATCTATCTATCTATCTATCTATCTATCTATCTATCTATCTATCTATCTATCTATCTATCTATCTATCTATCTATCTATCTATCTATCTATCTATCTATCTATCTATCTATCTATCTATCTATCTATCTATCTATCTATCTATCTATCTATCTATCTATCTATCTATCTATCTATCTATCTATCTATCTATCTATCTATCTATCTATCTATCTATCTATATATCTATCTATCTATCTAACTATCTATCTATCTATCTATCTATCTATCTATCTATCTGTCTATCTATCTATCTATCTATCTATCTATCTATCTATCTATCTATCTATCTATCTATCTATCTATCTATCTATCTGTCTATCTATCTATCTATCTATCTATCTAATTCATCTATCTATCTATCTATCTACCTATCTATCTACATATCTATCTATCTCTTCATCTACCTTCATCTATCTATTTAATGATTGTGCTTCATTATCAGTGTCTGGAAGTGTACCCTGATGCCAGGATTTATAGTGTCAAGAAGTTCTATTCTTCTACATTTTACAAAACCTTGTCATTCATTTATTCTTATATTAACCCTATCCTGGTTAGAGGAAGGAAAACCCTCTCCTCTCCCCCACTTTACACTCAGGTTCCCTAGTAAAACGTCTGCCTGAAAGGGATAATTAACGTTTAAGGTAAAATGAAAAAAATCAATTTCTTGAGACAGGGACATCTTGGTCGCGAATAAAACCCTAAAATCTTTAGGGTTTAGCCACGGTGGACTAATCCAGTGGGGTCGGTCAAATAGGCCTAGGATTAGGCCGGGTACTGTAAAAAGTCTGAACGCGCCATGGAAGTTGTCATAGCCCTCCGACGGGACATTGCCAAGAAAATTGACCCTTGTCGTATGTTAGTCTGGTTTTTTTACTTTTAATTAAGGCATAGTAATTTATAGAATTCTTTTTTGCACTTTTTTAAAGGGACCGTTCACTTATTTGAGTAATTTCAGGGAAAAGTGAATACCTTAGAAGCTATTGGTATTAGTCTTACTTTTCAAAGACATCTATTGATGGAAAAAAACAATTATCGTTCAGAATTTCAGTGCAAAGGTATGATACCTTTGATTAAACACTATTTGATGCTTTTTGTCTGTTTTATGGATTTAAAAAAAATTTTAAATATAAAATTAAATTGTTGTATCTAATAGTTAATTGTAAATGTCTAATTTTTTTCTTTAATTTAAAAAATTTAAAACAACACTTTTTTAACACATCAAATATTTTGTAAAAAAGCTGAATAGAACGCGGCATGAAAATACAAAGTTGCGAGCAATGGGATTTAAATAAAACATAATTGGATTACAGATAGTTGAAAATAAATTAGACAATTGATTGAGGGCATATAGGTTAGGAAATGTAGATCGTGGGGTGGACAGTATAAACTCTAGGTCGGTTGTGAACATTGGCTGTTCTTATGTCATTGAGTACTTGTGGTGTACATGACTTCTGTAAAAAGAAATTTAAAATAGTTTAGTCCTTCTCATGTCCTTCTTCAGTTCTCGTCAATATGATATATTGTTCAGTGAAATAATTTGATATTCTCAAAATAAAATTCACTCCTGAGTGGTTTAATAATTATGAAATCCATTAAAACACCAAACCACCCCGCTTACCATTGAAGTACACTTTGACCCCTAGAAGTACGAGTTCGCGGACTGTACAATTCTTGGTGATTTTCCGTACATAAGCTATCTATGTTTATTTTTTTATCTATGGGTTTGATGGTGGGTTTTTACGCCCCCCCCCCCTTCCTGATGTAATCTAATTTTCAATTAAAATCATCTGATTTAGCTCGCAGACAGGGTACGCAATTTATTCAATGTTAATTTAATAAAATACCACCTTTTCAGATTATTCACAATTACATCATTGCAAGGGAGATAGTATGTTTTATTTATATCAAACGAGGAGATTGAAATTGAGTAATGATTAATTGATTGCCGTAGGGTCTTCATTGTATATACATTTTAAACGTTTTAATACGAGAAACGTAAATTTCTTGCTGACTCAAATATCAAAATTTTTCATATATTTGTATAATGGCTAACACATAATGGCATTGAAATATGATATTTTTAAATTTTCTTGGGCTGTTCTTGCTAAAAAATGTATAATTTAGTGTTTAAGGCAAAGGTACTTTAGCTTTGTGATGGAATTCTGGAATATAAATAAGATTTGTCTCCGGCCACAGTTATCTTCGAAAAGTAAGACTAAGAACAATTAACATGAAATTACCCAAATAAGTGAGCAGAATAGAGTAGTGTACAGAAAGGTAAAAAAGTCAGTCAGTGAAAAAAATACAAAATAGCCCGTAATGTTTTTGTTATTTTAGCAACAGATCCACAAACTACATTTTAAAAAAGCCCTCAAGACATGAACATAACAACATGTGCTACATTTTATCGACATTTTTAAAAACACCCTGGCACTCGAACCATTACAGTTAGCGGTCAACTTTTTTTCAAGGAACTGGTCTTGTAAATTCAGGCTATGCACATGCATTGTAACCTTATAAGTTTAATTTAAAAGCATTATAAACATATAGATATATAGATATAGAACCTCCCCCCCCATCTTTACAGGTTGAACTTTGTAACCAATTTTCACCCGTGAAATGAATATTTTTTTATTTGCTTTTTTTTACTTTTTTTGTTGGCTATATATTTCAAATATTAAAGTCCTGCTTGGTATTTTCGACGGAGGGATGAAAATATGGCGGAACATAGGTTGACATACATAGTTCGTTTTACATCCCCCTCTCGTCCCTGGGAGTTCAACAGCTTATAGATATGTAAACTTCTTGACTTGATCCAGCTCAAGAGAGAAAATAAAGGGGGTATAGGGTAATGTTTCTAATTTTAGGCTCAAATGTACACGTAGTATTCCCTCCCTCCCTCTCTATATTTATATTGGCCCAATCAAGCCAATTAGTGATGTCTTATGTTATATTACATATTATAATTAACGAAGCTAAGGTGGCACAACCAAAACTAAAAATACTATTAGAAAATTTCTTAAACCGATTTCTATCTAAGAACCCCTTTTTACTTTCCGCATACTCTAATTAAAAATTTTAAGTTTAATTTTCTAATTCTTCTAGTTACCTTAGCAACCTTATATCATATCAAAGGTTTACAACATTATGTTGCAAAGATATTTGGATTAGAAAATTGGAGCTTGAGGTTAGTGATCATTTTTTTAAACTTACTTATAAGTAACTCATGTCCATAAATCAGCAGCTACTTTATTTTTTTTATGAAATTAATCAAATATTATTTTTTGGATGATTGTTATTATTATTATCATTAATTATCAATATTATTTCCCATATTATTGTTCTTGTTTAAAACCTTTCATAATTACATCTACATGTTTAATACTTATTGATTTTTCCATAAATATCAATCTAGTTTTCTAGTTATCTATCTATCAGAACGTTCTGTTTCCGTGGAGTTGTTTATATCAGAGGAGACAGAGTGTAATGAAGCTCTAAAGGTTGCACTTGCAGGATATTCAGAGAAACTACAGTACTGTACAGAGCGTCCCATATCATATTAGATTATCTCCAATTTTTATAATGCCAAAATACCACCATAATACTCGAAAAATCTAGCATTTTTTGCCAAAAAAAAAATTCTATTGGCCTTATTAATTTCTTTAAAATGATTGATTCTTCTTAAATTTTCTAATTTGTCCCCCAAATCGTAATTTAGACCCATTGACGCGTTCTAATATAATATGAGACACCCTGTATATTCTGACAAACCAATCCAATAGAAGCTAAAGATTTAGGAGAAGAAAAATAATCTGGTTTAACCAACCATTTAATGAGTGTGAATCAAGCAACCTAGCAAAGAACTTTCTAAAACTAACAGATAAACATTTTGGTAAAACTTCTCCAGTGCATTAGTACTTCAACAAAAATACTGCATGCCTAATATGGCCAGCATAGCAGCAGAAGAGAATAGAATATATATTAGAGGGGAATTTACTAGAAAAAAGTGTAAAACGGCCATTATGTTGTACTTTTTCCATACTGCAGGTGTACTTCACATATTTGCGCTATATAACTTTTAGGGCCCTGGAATATCATTTTATAGAAAATTTAAAATTAATATTAAAAGAAAACCAAATTGTAAAAAAAGGCTGGTTTCATAATTGAACAATGATCATTTTACGTATGGACTCTATGCCTTTCACTTTACAAACGATGATTTTCCGTTATAACTATTAACAAATGATGTTTTTTATTCACCGAATTTATTATAAAGTTTATTTAACAGCTTTAAAAAATTCGAAGTTGAAATGGATAGTCTAGGGAACATACTGTATTAATGTACTCTCCTGCATATAATTTGTGAACATTTACAAGATTTGTACACTTTGAACTCCCTTTCAGGCTGAAAGGGATTGACAAAATTCATACCGACGATTGTTTAAATTCCCCTCTAATATATATTCTATTCTCTTTGATAGCAGCATAACAGCATAACACATTAGAAAATTTCTTAACACTCAACCCAGTTTAAAGAATGTAATTACAGAGATGGAACAAGAGCCTGCCCACTTTTCGGTAAATGTTTAACAGACACTTTGGTATCCAGCAAACCAATTTACTGATAATCAGAAACCAAAATATATAGGCGTCAACAGGATTAAAAACCAGATACAATACTCGTCATTCAAGAACAGTAAACAGATGAACAGGATT